TTCGTCATCCCGTCCTCCCGAAAGTCGCTCATTGTCTCCATTCTCTCCGCTGGAACCTTCTTCGGTGCCCTCATCGCGGGTGATCTGGCTGATTGGTTCGGTCGTCGGGTCACTATCATCGCTGGCTGCGCTATCTTCATCGTCGGTGTCGTCCTGCAGACCGCTTCAACCAGCATTGGGCTTCTCGTTGCCGGTCGTCTCATTTCCGGTTTCGGTATCGGATTTGTCTCGGCTATCATCATTCTCTACATGTCTGAGATTGCACCCCGCAAGGTCCGTGGTGCCCTGGTCTCGGGTTACCAGTTCTGCATCACCATTGGTTTGATGCTTGCCTCGTGCGTGAACTATGGTACCCAAAACCGTACAGACAGCGGGTCGTACCGGATCCCCATTGGCCTCCAAATGCTCTGGGCAGTTATCTTGGCCTTTGGATTGTTCATGCTGCCTGAATCCCCTCGATTCTTCATCCGCAAGGGTCAAAAGGATAAGGCTCGCGTTGTGCTGGCCCGTATCCGTGGCCAGCCAGAAGATTCGGACTTTGTCGAGATGGAGCTGAATGAGATCGACGCCAACAACCAGTACGAACTGTTGGTAATCCCCCAGGGTGGATACTTCGTCACCTGGTTCAACTGCTTCACTGGAAGCCTTTGGCACCCTAACAGCAACCTTCGTCGTACTATCCTGGGTACCTCGCTGCAGATGATGCAGCAGTATGTCTCACCTTCCCCCTGATATTGGACAGGAACTAATGATCCATAGGTGGACTGGTGTCAACTTCATTTTCTACTTTGGAACCACTTTCTTCAAGGAACTCGGCACAATCAAGGACCCCTTCCTGATCAGCATGATCACCACTATTGTTAATGTCTTCTCCACTCCGCTCTCCTTCTACGCCATCGAGAGATACGGTCGTCGTCCTTTGCTCCTCTGGGGTGCCCTGGGTATGGTTGTGTGCCAGTTCATTGTCGCCATTATCGGTGTCACCGATGGCAACAACCCCAAGGCCGTCAGTGCAATGATCGCTTTCATTTGCATCTACATCTTCTTCTTTGCCAGCACCTGGGGTCCCGGCGCTTGGGTCGTCATCGGTGAAATCTTCCCTCTGCCTATCCGATCCCGCGGCGTTGCCCTCTCCGCCGCCTCCAACTGGCTCTGGAACTGCATCATCGCAGTTATCACTCCCTACATGACGGATGCCGACAAGGGTAACCTGGGCGCCAAGGTGTTCTTCATCTGGGGTTCGCTGTGTACCTGCGCCTTTGTCTACACCTACTTCCTCATTCCCGAGACCAAGGGTCTGACCCTTGAGCAGGTTGACAAGATGATGGAAGAGACTACTCCTCGCACTTCCTCCAAGTGGCAGCCTCACAGCACCTTTGCTGCCGAAATTGGATTGGACGAGAAGATTAACCCTACCGTGAGTCAGCAGGAGGTTTAATCCATCGGACTGTTTCTGCGTGGTGGTTCTCTTGTTTCTTACCATTTACGTTGTTCTAGCCCTCTTGACGGGCCTTGCTTCAGTTATTTCTCTATCATGAGCTGACGGTTTAACGCGATATTGCTTCAATATCTACGAATATGCATTTAACATGATGGAATTAATTCTGATGGTTTTTGATTCGGTTTTTTTCTTAATTCTCGTAGGCATTATTTAACTATCGCATACTTGTATGCTTTCAAGGCTGTAAGGTTTGTCGGAAACTGATACTGAAAAAAAAAGAACAAGAGTGCGAAATTCTCGACAGCGACTCGCGGTCCAGGAGATTCAAACTCAGGTAGTTGACCTAGAGGGTTGTTTAGAGCAGGTATGGCTCCTGATCGACTAGGCCACTGGGTTTCGCTATTTCTATTATACTGACTTGATACTTAACCAACGGCTGCTTGCTAGTTTTTTAATCCTTTGTCATACTAATATAAGGAACGAGAAAAAAAAGGATTAAGAAAAAGTGGACGAACGGTTTGAACCCAGAGCCGTGAGTGCGTAATTCTCGACAGTGTTCTAAACCAGGCAGTTGACCTAGAGGGTGGTCTAGAGCAGGTGCTGCTCGATAGAGTTACCAACTAGGCCACTGGGTGTCCTTACCCCTACCACACTGACTTTGATACTTAACCAATGAATGCTTAATTTCTCATACTCCTTCCATTCTCTCCTTCTACTGCACCTAGGCACCTACCTACTTATACTTGATACTAACCATTTTGACATGGGAATTATTGATAATACCCTAGTTGAGCTACTCCGTATTCTCAACATAAGGTTGAAACCCACATTTATCCACCAACCACACTTGGCCATCGGTAGATCTTCGGAGAGCAAGCAATTGCCAAGCCTTTCCGGAATTATGTCATCGCCTTGGCAAAATCCAAGGTCGGTCCGAACAGCTCAAGTACAACGGGAAATGCATTCTTCACAAAGCAAAGCTTGGCACATGTGTCTTGTCTTGCATGCATCAAAATCTGACACTTTCCGGCAGCAATCTCGGAGTCCGACAAGTTCATTGTTGATCTTATGCACGAATATGTAGCCAAAGCTATCGGCGCTCCTTTCTCCGCTGACTGATCTTGCAGGGGACCCCGGGACGGGACCGCCAAGACCGAATACGTATACATCTGCACCTGCGACGCATTGGGCCGCGTCCTTAATTCCCCGCATGGTAAATAGCGAAATCGTCACTGGCTGGTTCTCTCCTTGGCAGGGCAATAATGCCAGTATGATCGACGGTGGATTCGTCAGAGCGGGTTAGAGTTGGTGTCGAACTAAACCTCTGCCTCTTTCAGAATCCACGCATGTCCTATCAACGGCACGCAATTGCAACCCTTCGCCCTGTGATATCGGGATTCAATCGGAGCTCCGCTGAAGGGGCCGCACTTACCTGGATCTCTTTCTCGCTGAGAAACTTGCAGCGTTTCATTTGTCAATGCAGACCCAGTACTACCCCATATTCCTCGTCAGCTTCATCAAAATGTCGTTTTACCTGAAGCGGGTATATCCTGAATCTAGACATGCTCCGCCTTGGTATTAGCCAGGGAGGCAACAGGAAGGGGTATAAAGCACCCCGAGACACCCAGCTGTGGTATCCTCAACTTCCTCGTTCTCATTCACCTTGACTGCCTCGATAACGCAAGCATGGTTCATCTCGCATCCATTGTTGCCGTCGGCCTGACTGCTCTGACTGGCATTGTCTCTGCTCACCCGGGACATGATGTCAAAGCCGAAGCCGCCGAGCGAGCTGCATTCTTGAAAGGTGCCTCTGTTCACTCGCGCAGCCTTGCGCAGTGTACCTCTCATCTTCAGCGTCGAGGCCACCAAAGCCGAAACGTGGCCCGTCGTCATACGTCCGTGAAGAACATTCGTCGCCGCCTTGGTCTTCAGCCTAGTATGTTTTGTGTTTTGAAATCTTCCACATACTACCACGTTCTAACAACCCATAGCCAGCCACTTCCTCAAGGCGCGCTCCGATGATGCCCTGGATACCTCGCATCACTCCAATCTCACGAGTGTGGATTATTCGACCGATCCCGAAGTGTTGTTTGGCGCCGAGGCGACATGCATTCTCGGACCGGAGGTCACACAGGGACCTTACTGTTAGCTTCCCTTCTTTCTTGTGATTGAATCTTACTCACACGGTTTCGGTTTAGATGTCACCGGTGAACTCGTTCGTAAGAACATCGCCGAGTCCCAGGAAGGTATCCCTCTCTATCTGGATATCCAGCTGATCAACACCAACACCTGCGAACCCATTCCACAGCTCTACACGGACTTGTGGCACTGCAACTCCACTGTAAGTATACTGCATCCCCGATATCACATACAATACGAACCGTTTACTTACAACATCATCACAGGGTGTCTATTCTGGAGTCGTCGCCAGTGGAAACGGAAACTCTAACGATTCCACCAACCTCAACACGACCTTCAACCGAGGTATCCAGAAGAGTAACAGGGACGGTGTCGTTCAGTTCCAAACAAACTTCCCAGGTCATTACACTGGCCGGGCAACTCACATCCACGGTATACACAATTCCCCTTAGTCAAACCCGATTCCAATACTAACAAACAAACTCATAGTCCTCGCCCACCCAGCCAACGAAACCAGAGTCCTCGCCAACGGCACCATCTCCGGCCTCTACACCTCGCACTCGTCGCACGTCGGACAGATCTTCTTCGACCAGGATCTCATCGCCGCCGTCGACGAAGTCGCCCCTTACTCCACCAACACACAGGAACTGACCACCAACGCCGACGACAGCATTCTCGGCGAAGAGCTCGACGTCATCGACCCGTTCATGGAATACATCTATCTGGGCGACGATGTCTCCGAGGGAATCTTCGCTTGGATCACTGTTGGTTTGGACCCTACACAGGATACCACTGTTACCCCTGCGGCTTATTATACTGAGGACGGTGGTGTTGAGAATGAGAATGCTGGTGCCGGTGGTGGTAGTGGGGCCCCTCCCGACGGCGGTGCTTCCCCGGGCAGTTCCTCGACTACGGCTGCTTAAATGAGATGGTGGACGCTTGTCTTTCGGCTTTGGTGAATGGGCCATGTCCTTAACTAGCTTTATTTTATCTTGGCTATCACGGTATTAAATGTGTTTTCTGATCGTTTTGCCTCGATTTTCATACCAAGTTTGTGGCCATATTTTGTGCCTTAACTGGTTAGTTACCCGGAAATCAATGCCATAAACAAGCTCTTCGCAATAACTACTTGATTGTTTAGAGTGAACTGTGTTATAAGCAATGTGCTGAACGTGAGCCAAGTCGGACTCAAGGATATATTGACAAGGTATGCAAACTTTGCAAACAAGAGAGTCATGTATCAAGAATAAACACAGGTCAACTGTTTGAAAGAATACTACATAGTCATCACTCATGCTCAGAACATGAAAAATATTGATACAACGCCCCTGAAACGCCCCTAAAATTGCCCATCCGAAGAAAATCCATCATGCCGATGAATTTCCTACCCCCAGGTCTCCTTATAGACCCGCCCTCTTTTTCAAGTCCTCATCATCTTGGATGACCCACTATCTTCTGGTTCGCATGGCCGTTTACCACCGTGCTCATCAATACCATCCACACCATCTGATGTATTTGACAGACTGTCGGAAGGCCTAGATTCCCCTATCTCCGCTATAAGCCGGCTAGCAAACGTATCATAGGGCTGATATGGGATTCTTTTGCGCTTAATTGTAGGCCATTGGATGGGGGTTGTTGCATCCCTCCAATGACTGAGCGCATTCAGGACCTCGGTAGTGATCTGGGCCTCATAAAGTATGATAAAATGTTTTTCATGTATGTGAGTCGCGAGAAGACGTGACTGGAGCAAATTAGCTGGGACGCGATAGACCAATAAAATGTAAGCATACAGAACATACAGTGTAAGTGATTGGTTTTGATGGATTGACGGTGCGGTTGCGGTCTTTTAGCTGCGCAAGAGCCAACAAATGACACACAAAATATGGATCGTCGGTCCATTCCTTTGGAGTTGTCCGAGCTTTTCGCTTTAGATGGATTCTCCAACCGATCTCGTTGCTACGTCCCCCTGGAGCTGGACGATATTGCCGATTGCGAGATCCATTGACAAATGTGTAGTGCACATAGCCCAATAATGAGCGTGAGGGATCCTCGATCGATTCTTGACTGTTATGAAACATGATATACTCTGGCCGGTGAATAGACCGACGATCAAAAAAGAAAGGAGGTCCTTTGCTGCTCGGTGAATTTGTCAGTTACCCCGGGTATATTGGTCATACTACCAGCCTGTAGCTCTCACCTAGTATGTGCAAATGGGCAATCCTTGCCTACCAAGATGTTGATCAGACGCTCACGCTTCAGCTCAGGTTGCGGACCAATAGCCAAGACTTCAGGATCGCTAATTTCATCCCAGTAAATACGGTGGCGTGGACCCTTCTCGTAGTGAGAATAATCTGTAGAGACAAGCGTGACAGAGACAGGGGGAGTTGCGACATCTTCGAATCGACACCCCACCAGATCAAGATGATACGAGGTCCACTGTAGAGGACCTACAAGAAAGCGATTATGGTTTCGCACGAGATCCCGAAAGGACTGTGGCCCAGAATCAGCTACCATTGTTAGCATTGATGACAGGGGTGATGGTTCTGTCCAGATGATGATGGAAATAATGCCAGTGACAGTGTCACCGCCTATAGAACCGGTGGCATGCCCGTAATGAACATTCAAAAAGAGTCTTATATGTCTAAAATCTATAACCTAAAATAGACTTGCTTTTGCGGGAGCATCCTGAATTATGTGACAAAATCTATTTGCATGGGGAATATTTTACATCGCGATGGCATTCCGACCAGTTCATATGTTCTACGGAGTAAGATACACAACCCAAACCCAGCCATATGGATGGTACGTACATACATTGATTCCATTAACGACCTTGCGTTCGTCGGGTCGAGCGAGGTATGTATTCAGGTTCTGCTTCGTCCTCGCCATTATCCACCTCGTTATCTGAACCCGAGGAGACAGACACCGGCGGGGACTCCGCAACGGGAGGTCCGGATTCGAATGGCTCATTGTCATCGGGGTTATCATCGGTGTGAGACGGACCTGCAGGACTCTGCTGCTGATCATGGTGCTCGACGATCAACCCATCGTCTGCATCATCTTCATGACCAGGAAGAAGAAAGCCACCGCCATGATCAATCGCGTTATATGACGACTCCCGGCCAGGCATTTCTTCATCACCATCATCATCAGATTCGTCGTCCCGCTTTTTCTTCTCCACAGCGAAGGGATTATGCGAATCGCGCTCCCGATCAGCATCCGGATCCCCACCTCCATACTCATCTCTCACCCGCTCCATAATCCGTAACCCAAACAGAAACTTCCTCCACGTCTGCAAAATCTTCTTCTCGGCCTTCAGCTCCTCCCTCTTCCTCTTCTCCTCAGCTTCAACCTTCCAAGCATCCCTAAGTAGACCCTCGTTCTCAGCCGCAACAACAACACCCTGAATAACCGGTACAGCCATCTTCGACCCAAACTCGAACCCCGTCACGGCCTCCGCATAGTCAATGCCAAGCTTCTTGCATACCCGCACGGTACCAGGTAAGGGGACATGGGCCGCGCCCTCGGGCACCATACTCGGCACGAAGCAGTCGATATTACCATATTCGTTCTTGGGGATGCGGCCGTCCTGAATAGGCGGCGGGATGATGTACTCTGTCTGGTCGCGTGCGTACAAGCCTTGCAGGGGTTTCTCGCCGGTCTGGCGGTGCAGTTCGTCGACTTCGCGTTTGCGTATGAGGGTCACGGCGCGGATGGGCACGCGCTTGAGCGCTACCGCGCCCGGTCTCGGCTTGCGGCCTTCTTTGTGCCAGCTTTCAGCGGACAGGCATTTTAGCACGTCTGCTCGTCGGAAGACGGGTTCTTCTTTGGCCCGCGCGCCTTTTCCGGCTATGAAGGTTCGCACGGGCTCGGCGCCGGGGCGGAGGGCTTCTTCGCGGCGGAGGAAGCGCTCTAGCACGAACTCGGTGGAGGTTCGGAGGCTTTGGAGAGTATCGGAAGTTTGGGCGGTTTTCTTCTTTTCAGGTTGGTTGGGTTGTAAATCTCGGGTTTCTTCGAGTTTGTCGACTGCTGTTTTGCTCTTGCGGGCTCGCTGGTACCCGCGCATTACCATCCCGAACCAGTCAAAGGCGATGTAATGCCCGCGTGGACCTACGGGTACTTTTTCCAAGGGCATTCGGAAGCCCTTTGTTTTACCAGGCCAGGTCCGCCGTCGAAGGTATCTTGTTGTAACCTCTTTAGCAGTACCATCGGACGAGTGGGCGACAACATAGCATATGACTTGTTTGGCCCGGTCTGCTTTTGCACCGCGTGGCTCGAAGTTTGCCTGTAGGTCTGTATCTGCAAATGGCGCCACGGGGTTGGAAAGTACAAGCGGGTCGACAGATATGATCTCATTCGTGACGGGTGAGGCAACTTCGGTCCAGTAGATAGGAAATGGCAGATCCGCATCGAATTGTTTACGCTTCTTCGCTGGCACTTTATTTTCAGCGTCAGTCTCAGGCTCGGATCCTTCCGACTCCTCTTCATCCTCGGGGTCCTTATCTGCCTTGGAAGGTGTGGGAGGTGTGTAGGTCTCTCCTTTGGTCCAGCCAAAGCCCAGCGGTTGTAAACTAGCCACCAGTCTGGCCTCAATGCCTAGAGCACGGACGAGAGCCGTGAAGAGCTGTGCGCCGACGTCCCGCGAGCCCTGCATACGCTCGGCGGTCGCGCGAAACTCATCCAGGTTGGCGATACGCTCACCATGGTGCTCCGGGTCATGCTCCTCCTCGCGGAAGTCGGTGATTGCAGTTTCAAGAGCAGATACCGGCCGATATCCATACTTTCGCAATCCTGGCGCCGTGATATGAAACTGTTTCCTCCAGTATGCGACCAGCACCTTCATCAATATGATGATTGGATCACCACGGCTCATATCCGGATGGCCTGGCTCTAGTCGCTCGGACTCATCACTCCAGTCTTTATTCTTCTTGGCCTTTTTGTCTTTCTTTTTACTCTTCGGTTCGGGTTTCGGCTCTGGAAGTTCTAGGCCCGACGCTATACGCCATTTCTTGACTTCCTTCTGAATCCCTTCCGGTAGCTTTTTGCGCAGGATCTCATGCACTTTGGAATCGTTGCTCCAGGAATTGCGGATGGCGTTGTGGAAAAGCAAGCATTGGACATGCATACAGTGCGTCTGGATCCGGATTTGGCGCTCAATTTTACTAGGCCCTTTCTTACCCTCCAGAAGATCAGACACATGTGTCTCATTTTGGTCCAGAGTCAACTCTAGGTCCTGTAGCTCCGGGGCCGCGACGGGCCTAGTGACGCTGGTCTTTGTGTCTATCGCATCCTCCCAGTCAATATCCTCTTCTTCATCTTCGGATTCTTCGGACGCAGAGGCATTTTCTTTGAGGAGACCTTCAGGTGCATCGCTCAAAGAGTTGGAGTCGGAGTCGGAATCGGAGAGGTGGAACGGAGCTTGGGGAGCTTGGGGAGCTTGGGGAGGAGCTTGAGAATTATCGGGCCGGGCCTGGCGCTTGGCCGGGGGCGGGTCCTCGGAGGATACGCGCTTGCGGGGGAGAAATGGTGGCATAAATTGTACGAATGAATGTGAAGATGAGAAATAAGGAAGCTCGCCGAATGTCGGAGATGGGAGATGAAGGGATAGTCGTCATCGGCCGAGGTTGCAAGCGCTTGACTTATTTCCTGCAACTTGCAACCTGCAACTTTCCTACTTAGCTACCGTTTACAACTTAACAAAACTATTTGACTCTTCAAGAACATAAATCAATTTATTCTATCGGATTATCATTCAAAGCACAATGTCAGCAGTCAAGCGATTCTTCTCTTCCCCCCGCTTTGCGGTGGCGGGGGCCAGCAATGACACTCACAAGTTCGGATACAAGAGTAGGGCAACACGCTCTGTTCGCATTTGGATAGAGAACTAAATAATTACAGTCCTCGCCTGGTATCATGAACACTCTCTACCGGTGACACCGCTGAATCCGCGAGCAGCGCAAATCACCCTCCCCTCGCGTGCCTATGATACAGTCCCGTCGCCGGCCGGTTTGCCATCGCCGGCGCAGACTTCTCTCTCAGTTGTGACTCCCCCGATTGTGACGCTCCAGTTGCTGAAGGAAGCGCACTCGGTGGGGATCCCTGCAGTCTGGTTGCAACCTGGCACCTTTGATGAGGAAGTGCTGGACTACGCCCAGAGTCACTTTGAGGCGGTGATTGCGGGCGATGGAGGACGGGGCAGCGAGGGATGGTGTGTGTTAGTTGATGGCGATGAGGGATTGGAGGCAGCTGGAATACAATGGACCAGCCAGCGATTGTAATTTCCAAATGGATTTGATATATGAGGTCATGTAGGGGGTTTAAATACTGCGAGACAAAGAAGTGACTTGTAAGGAAAACACTAATTGCCGCCACGGCCAACATCCAACCTCTCGCTTTTTTTTTCTTCTTCAGAAATTCTTCTTTTTTCTCCGATTTCGATCTTTTGATCTTTTGATCTTGGACCTATTTTGTCTTTATCCCTTCTTTCCTTCAAAATGCCAGACATGCACGCTGTCTTCAACTCTCCTAGACTCGACCTCTCAAATGCACCCTCTCAGCTATTCAAAGTGCCAGCCTCAACGGCTTCCACGTCGCTTTATTCTCTCTCGGTCAGTCGCAAGCGACCACGTCGTAACACAGAGAAACATTCGTCACATCTTGAGTCCAATTTTACTGGGTCTCCGATGATCCAACCCAACTACCGCTCAGTAAGCGTTAGCGGAGGTAACGACTTGCACGCTTCGGCCGAGCTAGATTACCGTCCAAACCGATACCGCGAATCCTTCCTCCCACCCTCATTCGATTCCAGCGACGAGTCAGCAAACCTAGCAGACTACAACGGCAGTCGCAAGCGCAGCCGCCGTGACTCTGGCATCATATCCGCAGGCCCCGACAGCCCCAGCACCACACCCACAGGCTGGGGCCAGACCGTGATCAAAGCTGTGAGCAAAGTCCTCGATCTATGCTGGACGGGCGCATTCCGAGGGTTCTACGCAGGAGGAGGACAGGGCTACGACATGTCATCCAGCCCAGCAACAACTCTCGAATCCAGCTGGCTGCCCTCAACCAGCCCATCCGCCGAGAAAGATACGTACAGCCCGAGCACGTTTTGCTCGACGCCCGTGCCCGGTCAATATCCAGACGACGAGGTTGATCCGAGCTGGGTTGTGGTCTCCGGGAGCTCGGATGCATTCGCGGGCAGCGAGCTTGCTAGCCCGTCACTCAGCACACGACGCGCTTTTCGGGCATCGAGTCCTCGTCGGAAATCCGCTGTTATGCCCCGGCTCACTAAACGGACTGCGTATTCCGTCGGACCCCACTCGCCTACTAAGGGACAGGGGGGCCTGCCATCCCCTCGGTTAAAAGATGCCCCCGTGTCTGCCGATATACAGCGACAGGCTGCTAAGATGCGCCGCAAGGAACGACAAGAAGATGCCAGTCTCCAGCGATTGAATAAGCAGTTGCAGGCGATGATCCGCGAAGGGAAGGAGGCGTTGGGCACGACGGTGGTAGTAGACGATGTGGACATGTATGACTCTGATTAGGCTGCGATTCGCCTTTCCGAGCATCTTTTTCCATCTCGAGTGGTATGGCTGTTTTTGATTTCATCGCGTGTAACGACCTGATACCCCCCAAGGGCGCTCTTTAACTGGGTGGTCCGGACCGGAAACCCCGGTTTTGATTTGGCTACGATTAACGATTTTGTCTTTGGTTTTTGCTTGCGCTTCTTGCAGCTTGGTTTTTGCTTGCGCTTCTTGCAGCTTCGTCTGTCTGTCTCATTATGTGGCAGGGTTTCGGTTTTCCTGCGGGTTTCTATGCCCAGACTTCAAAATTGCCTGTGTTTTTACACTGAAGCTTCGCTTTATGATTGAATCAAGGAAAGCATTTGACATTGTTTGGAAGAATAAATGACAACTCAAACTGAACAACTGAATAGCATAACCGATCGCACATCCCGAATGTCGGTCGACTAGTCAAACTACTTTCATAAAATCCTCATCACAATCTGATCGAGAAGAAATAAAACACACGCAATTGTCCCGCATATAGCTTACTCAGAAAGCAGCACCAGAGGCCTGCTTCTGCTCACCAGCAAGACCAGGGCCAGAGTGAGGACCAGCACCAGACGCAGGGTCAGGAGGACCCGCAACAGAACCATCACCGATCTTAGAAGGGGAGCTGGAACCAGGCTTGGGCATAGCACCTCCGGAAAGGAAATTGGTGACTTTTCCCAAAGCACCGCCCTCGAGGAGAACACCAGCAAGGGTAGAGCCCTCGATGGGAGCTTGGTCACGACGCATCTAGACGAATGTTAGCTTGGTGAGCTGCTTCTCTGCTATAGGTGGCACATACGGGCAAAAGGCCAAGGCCGTGATGAGCGTTGCCCTTGAGAGCACCGAGGCCATCCTTGCCCATTAATCCGCCGAGGAGGCCGCCGGAGCTCTCGCTCGGCTTTGCTGCCTGTTCTGCGGCTGTCTTCTTGGCACCCTGCTTAGCCTCGTTCGCATTCGGCGCAGCGGAATCCAGTTGCTCCAACTCTTCGGCGCGCTTGTGGTTCTGGGTAACGGGCTATTTGGATTATTAGCGCTTGTGTTCCTCCAAGTGTGGCCTGGGATAGAACTTACACCACTGCTAGTCAAAGACTGCAGGACACCGAAGATCCCCTTGGAATGGCCCGCCTGACGGGTATCGAGCTGCTTGGCAGGCGTTCCGCTCTTCTGTTTATCCTGGTCCTATGTTAGGTCAGCTTTCTTTTCCTGGTTCTAGGGACTGCTTCAATGCCTGATAACCCGTGTCGTACATTCGTAAGGAGATCTCCGACGATGGGAATACCCCGGAGGCTGCTTTCCAGTTCGTCCTCCAAGCCTTTTCCTCCATTCTGGCCGGCATTTTGACCTCCGTTCTGGCCTTTGTTTTGATCGTGGTTTTGGCCAGCATTCTGACCCGCGTTCTGACCTGAGTTTTGACCTGCGTTCTGGCCCGCGTTCTCGCCCTCATTTTGACCGGCATTCTGGCCATAGTTCTGATCGACGCTTCGGCGCTTGTTCATGCCATTCTCGCCGCCAGTGTGCGTGTGCTAGGGTTCCGTCAATATCCCGCCCCTTAAACTGACTGCTGACCGAAAATACATACCTTTCCGAACAGCCCTCCGATGATTGGCAAGCCACTAATACCATCTTTCCCGATATCTCGGCGCTGGTTCTGCTTGTCCTATAGGACGTCTCTGTTAATACCCCTATTCTTTATCTCTATTCGAGAGAGAAGGATAAACTAACGTTGCCAAGAAGCTTACCAATAACCGGAAGCTCGTCGATCAGGTTATGGTGCTCATCGCGCTTGGCATCCTGCTTCTGTTCGATTGCTGTCAGTCCCTTTTCTTTCACTTTCTATCGACTAAAAGCACATACCCCTGCGAGCATAGGTCCAAGAAGAGGAATATCCCCAATGATATTCTTCTGCTCAACCGAACCCTGCGCCTCGGCACGCCCAGTAAGCTGCGCAACGGGGGCCGCCAAGCTGACGGCCGCAAAGAGTGTAAGGGCGTAAGTAGTCTTAACCATTGTGTCGGCTGTAGACCTGTATCGCAAGTATCAAGGTGAAAGAAAGGAAGTGTCGGCGAGCGACGGAGCTGGATGGAGGAAATAAAAAACAAGAAGGGATATTAATGAACGTCTGAGGGAATGCGAGTCACCTCGGGGGATTTCAGACTTTCTATAATCTTTCTAGCACGGATCGTCTTCGTGGCATTCTGTCAGAACTGAGATATGAAGGGGTGTTGTCGCGGCCTGCTCCAATATCAACACCCCTCGCGGCGAATCCTGTAGCTTCTTTCGCCGCTCTGACAGTGTGGCTGGATTCTTTTCTCCTTCAACAGGAATGCACCAATGCTTGATCTCGACAAATCTCCCCGTCGATCATGGGTTCACCTCCCTGCTATGCAAGGGGTGACCCTGGCTGATCGTGGGAGACGATGTAGGGTCCAAAACCTGCACTGCTGGTGCTTCTGCCCTGAACATTTAATCCCGCGAGCTTCTTCCCGGGTGGTTGATTGGTGGTGAGCAATACGCCCTGCTTAAGGGGTTGTTGTTTGTTCCTGGGAGACATCCTGCCTCCTGCTTGGGATCTCATCGATTTGTTTACTGCCACTGGTAATGATCGCTCGGAGCGCCCGTATATATTTAAATGTGACCTCAACCTTTGGTTAGTATTTACAGACCGCAATCTACATACGCACTGTATGTTGGTTATAAAGATGTATTTTGTGCCCTTCTTTGTGATGCATATATTTCATCACCTTCTACACAAGGCGGCCAATTGGCCTAGTGGTAAGGCATCCGTTTCCGGTGCGGGAGATCGTAGGTTCGAATCCTGCATTGGTCGTTATCTTTTTGTTTTTTACTCCCCATCCCATCAGTTACAGTCATATTTCATGAGTATTTGCACCCGGGTACTTCTATTTTCTGCCGGAAGAATTTTGCATCCACTCACATCTAATCCTGCTATGCGAGTGGGGTCTATACCAGTAGTAATCGAAAGGCGGTATAGCCAGGGCGGTCAACAATGGAAGTACTGGGGTGCAAATACTCATGCAACGCCACTGTAGATGGGACTTTTATTATTATCTTTGGGGGCTTTTGTTCATCCTCATATGGCAGATTCATACATTTTTATATTGTTCTGTCAGCATTCCCCAAGGAAGTACACATCGTATCACCAGAATCTTGGTCTGGAAGAGGTCTCATGCAGATACGATTCGATATTAAAGACAGAGCTTACTTGGAGACAGGCATAAACATTTAGAAAGACTGTTTTTGAATAATACAGTGAGTTTAGCCTTCATTTCACTCGTCGTATTACCGACTGTCCTCTAGATTGGCATTTCTTTCACTTGCGATGGTCGAACCGATCAATTTCGCTGACACTACTTCAGGGAGACTGTCATGAGCATTAGATCAATCGGAACCTAGTAGGCTCAGTCATGAAGTCTAAGATCATCTTCGGTTAGCAATCCGGAGTAACGGAGATGTAGGTCTTAGATTCTAGGACACTTTCGGAGAATGGACTAAATACTCAGCCAACGATACTGCACAAACCGGACTAGAATCGTCTTGATTTCTTTAGGGACATAAAAGTGCGACTATTAACAGAGCAGTTGTATAGGATTGAAAATACCACTATACATTTAAACATTCGGCTGACTGATTCACTCTACTAGACCTACTGTTTTTCTCACCTCAAAAAGCGTCTCTAATAAGGAGAGAACATGACCCGCCTCTTGACGTCTAAGAAGGGGTTAAAATCGGGTGAGGGTGTTTTTTCAAGTAGCCCAGGGGACATCAAAAATCGACCGTGGAGCGATTGGCTTCTCACGCTCCTTCTTTTCCGCCATATCGGTGATCATCCAGGGATCTGGCTTTTCGAAGACGACATAGTGGTTCTCAATACTTGTCGATAATGTCCGTAGCCAGTCAGTGATATGACCTAGGAGATCATACTGAGTTCGGGATCTTTCAGCGAAATCACTGTACCACTCTTCTCTTGCCCCTTCCATCTCGCAGTGAAACACTAAGACAAACTCCTTCGTTGCGGGTTCCTTGATCTCGTCCGCGGAGTGTTGATCCGGAGCCCATGCACCGCAATTGGTGACGAAAGCGGACCAGGGAGAAGTTTGGCCGCGTGCAAAGACTTGCTGGATCAAAGTCCTAAGATATCGATTGTTAGTAAAATAGCATTATAAAGAGGGTGGGTAAAACAGAGTCAATACGTGTCATTGAAAGTGTGCACATACTGCGTGTAATTTCTTATGGCATATCCAAAGGAGCGTCGGTCATTTATATTCTCTGAGACATGGAAATTGGTTATGTCCGCATTGGAAATACTGTCCAGCCTCCGTGGGCCTGCTGTTCCTCTGTATGATAGCTCCTGGATGGAATTTCCACATCCATCCGAGAAATCCCGAAGATATTCTTGCAGTCGAGCTTCGCGTTCTTGCTTGGGTAATTTGGTATTTGTGAGTTCTTCAAAGAAGCAGAGTCAGCCCCGCTACCTAAATATGGATTCATTTTGCCATGTCAGAGAAGGCAAGCATACCAAGGAATAGTAAGAATTTGTCGCTGTCCCCTCCACTTTCTTTTTCTTTACCCCAAGCTAGTGGGGGGCAATCTCCTAGTTTCCATAATTTCGCACGAAGTGCTTCAAGTTGGCTTTGTACCTTTGTGTTTCCACGCTGAGCACGGAAAGAAATCATTTGAATGCAATCCGCCTCAGAACTGTTGATTTCAAGGGGTAGATTATGCCGAGTTATATGTGCCATCATGTACCACGCACCAGCGGGCCCAGCGGCTATGCGTTCCCGGGGGTTTCTTCGCGCCTGAGACATACTTTCCACATGATACTTATCTTTACCAGACTCATTTTGATCTTGTTTGGCGCTGTATATTGGCTTTACATCTGCTTGAAAAGCTTGATGCTTGATTTGACACTGCGGGGAGTCTGGAAGAGGATCATCTGATACGTGATTGAGCTGGCCCGTGCAAGCCGAGACCATATACATCGCATCTTTGATAAGCTCCGCTATATGTTTTGTGAGATCTTGACTGCCTCCCTCTCGAAGCTGCAGATGACCGTCAAATTGTGGAGTTGAGTTCCAAAAGAGCAGTCCAATGAAAAACTGGTCCTCCGAGTCTTTGTCTCTTTGGAGCCATTGCCCACAGGCGTATGCTAATTCAGAGCTAGAAAAATTTCCATTGACGGGTCTAGAAAATGCGCTTCCCCATTTGGCTTCGAAACCAGCTTTCTCGTCTAGCTGAGAAGCAGATAGAGCTGCTGGAAACTGGAAGGAGACCAGTTCGAGGTGACATGAGTCAGGAATTTCGAGGGGCAAATCAATTTGAACGCAACGATTGGAGGCATGGGAGATATATCCCAACATCATGCTGAAGCCAAGAGAATACTGAAATAGTTTCCAGCCAAACACGCTTTCCCACTGGATCAATACGATAATCTGCTGACACGGCGAGACATCGTTCACTGATGACCAATAGAGTCTTTGAAAACCAGGGATAGTCGAAACAAAGCGTAAAGACTTCTGCCAGAGTATTGATGCGCGCTGTGATGCATCGAAGACGTCGACCTCGGGGTGGAAAGTAAATTGAAGAATCCCAAGGACCGGATCATCGGGAAGTTCGTCGAGTTTGGCTGAAGAGTATGGTAGGTCATGAAAACGAGGTACGACTTGCACGTACCCTGAATGAACGCCAATCATTGTAATCTCGGCCTGTAACTATTCGGGAGTTCCCAGCTGCGCGTCTCAGGTCCGGACTCGGCGAACTTGGCGGTGAAGGCGTCAATTGATCCTCGAGGTTTCGCTCGTCTTAATTCACTTTACCTAACTATATAAGAGAAATAAATAATAGTAGCGCTCACTCATGGTACGTAGATATGATTGGCCAATCTTGATAATTACAGCTATAAATTGTTCGCGACACATAGGTCGCTATAGTGACATATGTACCGGATGATGCCTGGCACTCGGAAAATGGTTCCAAAATCAATCAACAACACAAAGTAAAGAGGTAGAGGAGGGAAGGCAGGACTAAAAATGGTGCATATTCCAGGAAGTCCATGAGCGCAATTCCAGGATCAATCAGACCAAGGGTCATATCCTTCGGGCCATTCAAACTCCTCCGCGGGATCCCACTATCGAATATCTTCGGGGTCATCGTCGAATGCTGTATTACGTTCCCAAATTGGAGTAGAATGGGTGGCAGGAAACTTGCCCTTGGACTTGCTTTTACCATATCTTTGTCGGCTCTGTGCGAGCTTGTTCTCTTCCTGGAGTCGAGCTTTTTCCGCCCATACTTTAAGGTCCTCCGGGTTCCTGATACACCAGATGACGACATCTCGTGCTGCATATGCATCTTCTAAAGCACTATGCCCGCAATCGCTAGTCTGTATGTTCAAGCCCAAAAAGTCCTTCGCAAGTGTTTTCAACGCCCAGTTGCGGGTCAATGGCTTCGTTGATGGAATGGAAGGGTAGACAGTCTCAGCAGTCAATATCGCAGAATCAACAACTTTAGCATGAGCCATGCCTAGTACTTCAAGATCGTACTGGAGAGAATGACCAACCAACACGGTCGAATCGTCCATAAACTCCCACAATTTATCGCGTGCCTCTCGCCAGTTTCTAAATGCTGCACCACAGGCAACGGCGCTACTCATGATGGTCTGCGTCACGCCAGTGAACTTATATCTCCAGTCAAGCACCTCCTCAGACGGATTCACATAGCGACTGATAAGCACTTCGCCGCTCAAAAAGTCGATCGCACTGAGAAAAGCGAGTGTTTGGCGACCGTTTCTGACTCCGACCATCTCACAGTCAAGGGCGATGGCACAAACAGTGCCCGCAGCTTGTAGCTCCGTGTGAGGTGTCTCTCGAAATTGATAGGCTGGAATTGATCCTTTGCGTGGGCATTTCTTGTTTCTGATGGTTGTGGGACCTATGATATATCCTTCCGTCTCAAGACGATTCCATGAATGGCACCTCGAACGTAGATATCGCAAGATGAGATCCTGCTCCAGAAGGTTCATATTTGTTGGATAAGCCGCAGTGCTAGATGCAACACATGGTAGAGCTTCTGTTGAAATGAATATAAGCCTCGGATTACTCAGTGGGTAGATACGAGGCTCCTTACCTAGTATAGGGCCCTCGTTGATGTTTAGCGCTGGCATAGAAGCCAGTAAACCATGTAACAAATGACCACCCGGAATTTCCGGTCCCTGCTCAGAGGGTCTCGAGGGCTCATAGGGGACATCTGTGGGGATAGATATCGACCGCACAACGGGTGTCACCGCTGCGCTTGATAGTACACTTAGTGGTGATATCTGAACATCGTTTGCTCTACCCGGTGAGGCTGCCTTGGTATAATAGCTTTGGTAATGTTGTATAATCGCCGTCTCATCCTGAAAGGTTTTTTCGCAAATAGGACACTGGAGAGAGTGACGCTTCTTTTGGAAATGATTTCTAGCACTAACCAAACTCGGAAAATTTCCCCTCTCACACCCAGGACAGTAAAGCCGAATAGAATATTTTTTAACCATGTTTATAACATTGAAGCTGGTCGGAATGATAACCATACGTAGACGCAGCGTGAAGAACAGATGTAGAGAGATTTATTTGTCTGCCCAACCTTTAGTCTGGCGCCCAAGGCATACACGTAGTCAAATTCATGCATGCTGCGGCCAGAAACTATTGGTAAGTACAGGGGTTTTCGAACTACGCTGCGGCGCGCTGCTTCTCCACAACTCCTGCGCGACCATGCGTTTTCATTATCTCAGTCTGCTCTATAGGTGGCAAAGCCACTAGTTGAAAGCTATTCCACACAAGGGGTATTTTTAGGTACTGAGACTGCTTAAGGTGCAATATCTTTTATCCTAATACTGTTTTACTCTCACTTCGCTAGGTCACTAACGTAGTATTTTATTTGGAATGATTGGCTCTCGGAGGCTCACCGGTTGCTGCCCTCAACTTAATGAATGCTTATAGGAACTGCAAATAGTTAGACTTGCTGAAGTACGATCAAGAAACATACAACCTACTAGGAAACCGATGTATATCCCGGCTTACAATATATAACTATGTCGTTGATTGTTGCTGGCATCGGGATTAAAGGAGAAAAAACTGGATAATGTACGATTACTGAGAGAAAAAAAGTCGCCCCTCAATGGAGTAGTTCCAATAAAACGCGTTCTAACTTTACCAATCGGAATCTTGAATGTAATCAAAATGACACGAGGACAAAACATCCGATAGTGAAGTTTAGTCTTAAATCAGATATGATATAAATCTAGCATATCCTCCAAAGAGGCGCCATTGATATGTCGATAATCAGTTTCTGGGAATGGCTGCAGCCCAAAAGCGATCCTGTTCAAATTGACATGTCTTTGTAAGTTGCCTAAGGCAGGCACATCGAAGGATTCTATGGTTTCGATATCCTGAGGACAATCTGGTTCTGGAAGCAGCCCAAGAGCTAGATCAGAGCTGGTTCCAGTCAACGAGTACCCACTGGCATTGATATGATATCAAGAAGATATGGTAACTGGCACATTCGTACCAAGACCTGTCTCCATGTTCCAGAATTCAATTTAACAAGCGAGAAATTGATATAGCGTATACTGTGGATAGATTGGTTGATAAGTGAGAGAAGATTATTGCATGAAATAGAAACTCCCCCCAGATCAAGACACCGTAGGCAGAGAGAGGATGGAAAGGCGAGAAAGTCAATATCCAGAACGTCGAGAGTATGTATTGCGAGCGATTGGAGATTTGGCGCAATTTCAATCATCCGTAACATTCGGGTGGCATACATGTTGTTCGGAAGTGCAGCATTTTCAGGCGAAACTGGTTTCAGCCAGTACCTTTGGTCCCGCGAATTTGTATATTCACAGGAATATAATCCAAGATGTCGAAGACTTTGCGTGACATCCTCGATAGGGATCTGCACCGAACTGGTCTGGGTCGGGAAGAAACGTCCGAAATCATAGGTTAGGGGGAATTTCAACTCCAGTTCTCTCAAATTTGAAAGCGGCACGTAACGTAAAGTCGAAGAAACCGCATCCATATAGGCCCTTCTCTGCTCTTGTGAAAGACCCCGGGGTGGTTCGTGAAACTCAAGGGCCGCGAGGTTGAAGAATTTAATCAAACAAGATGACAGGCATCCAAAGAGGTCTTCGATATACAATGCGGCGGTATTCGCGGTAGAATCCGAGCCCGTCTCTTGAAACCCGAAATCAATATGACGAACATACACAGCGTAGGGGCTTTTTGATAGTTTCATAAGTCGTTCAAGATGTGGATGTCCTCTAGAGGCGCTGTATCTCGCATCAATGTGCCGGAACAACCAGGATGCGGCACTGTGACAGAAAGCTTTGTTGACAAGGCGCAGATTCCCTAAGTCTTTTCGACTCCTCCAGTAAGGTACCGAGTAATGCCTTGCAGCGTCCCACAAATATGTAGCACGGCCGTCGTCGAGCCAGACATAAAATGCAATCTGTGTAGATAATTAGCACCGAACCTAAGGCCATAGGAGCAGAGTGCTTACTTGGTCACATATCTCTAGAGGGATATGCATTTTTGTGTTAGGCTGTCTTTTAGATTGACACTGAGGAGATGGTAGGAAACTTGAAGGGACTGATTGAAAAAGGGGTGTAAGATTGCTCCATTACCGTTACCCCTCCGTCCAAACGATCATCGCCTACAGGACCTTCGTGGTATTTTCAGTAAATCCACACCGTAATTTTGCTAACAAATACCACGTAGTACTTTTGTAGCTATCGGCTTATTGAGTACGTGAATAATTCATTGTGCTATCGTCCTGGCAGCGGGGCCCGGTAATAGACTATGTTTGGTATGGAAGCTGATTTCGCTACCGATTACACAGTACTTAGAACCTATCAATACGTACGCATATATACTTAACGAACATTGATATCTATCGGACCTTCTTCTCTATCCAACTCAGTCCAGTTTCTATCTAATATTGACTGACCATTGTCGATGACTCTACTCTGTATTTCAACTTCTAATTCTTTCATCCTTGGCTCTACTGCCAAGAGGCTAGCTTGAGAAATGAGTACGTCTAAATGGACCTACATTGTATGTTGTACATACTAACAAATCGTTATGAACCGTTTCTTGAAGGTCTAGATCTGCTAGTATGAACAGATCATCTCTGGGATCAAAACTGCCTAGAATCGACACAGGGAAACCAAGTCGTAACGAGACAAGATTGATAACTCTTGGAATATATACCTTCATAACATTTACTCTAAGCATCTCGATATTAAATTTTGCACTCTAAAGCTCTATAATCTTCCAATATAGATTTCAAATCCACAAATCACGGACACGGTCCATGAGTTTACCTCGTTGTCCGTGCCAAGACCCTCGACCACGGAGGACGGAGCCTTCGAGCAATCCCGCTCCGCGATTATGGTATTCCAGAAAATGGCAGTCCTAAAGTATTTAAGTAGCAAAGACAGCCAACACAATTTATTGACTATCAACAAGCAAATCAACAAGCAAATCAACTTCATTTGACATTTATCTTTGATATACCTACCAAAATGGCTCCCATCCACGTTGGCGCTCTGCTCTTCGATTACCAGGCGATCGACGTTATCGGACCATTCGATGTACTCAATTCCGCGAGTAAGGCGCTCCTCCAGGCTATCAGTTTCTTCAACCCCATCGATCCGAAACTTATAGCAAAGGCTCCCGAATTTGTCTTCCACCATATCGCAGAGACCCTGGAGCCGGTGCACCTGCTTACAAGCTCTGTGACAATCGTGCCTACGGTCACTGTGGATGACGTCCCGGAGTTGGATATCCTCATCATCGGCGGAGACAATCCTACGAACAGCAATCTTGCTCCGAAGCTGCAGGACCTTATTCGCCGCCATGTCGCCGCTGGAAAGCTACTGTTCACGACCTGCACTGGTGCTGGGGTTGTCGCAGCCACCGGCGTTCTGGATGGCAAGAGGGCCACGGTCAATAACGTCGAGTACAATTGGCTGAAGAAGAAGTACCCGAATGTCAAGTGGACAAAGGAGAAGAAGTGGATTGTTGATGGTAATATCTGGACTGGGAGTGGAGCAGTGGCGGGCATGGATATGGTTGCCCACTGGATCAAAGAGAATTTTGGGCTGGAAATTCTTACTCTCGCGGGCTTGTCGCTTGATTATGAACCGCGGGATGTTGATGGACTTTTCAATGTGCTGCCCCACCGATACGATTCGGCCGGAAATCAGATTTCCACCCATGTCTTTCCGGACGAGATCTGATGTTATTTTGGGCTTGCAGGGTTGAGGTCTGGAGCATGGATAACTTGTCAAAACGCTGTAGCTGATGAACCTGTCATGCTATGAAATGCATCCATCAATAGAATATCACCCCACAGCTTCTCATCTCCTATCTTCTGGACTTCCGTAGCAATGGCGTTTTGTAGTGTAGGCTGATCCGGAGCTTGAGCGACGCGGCGACTCGAATACCGCAACGCAGGGCAGCGGTGCAGCCCTTGAGCAGATGCGGCTGTGTTTTTTGAAGCCCCAAGGTCGTGATGCGCATGGTGACTATCATGGACATGTGCGAGATTCTCTTTTGTCAATGCATAGGAATTCTTCACACTTCCTATAATCTCATGCAGCATTGAAAAGAGGCTCTTGGTGGGTATTTGTCTATCTGGCGATGGTTTAATAGCCTGTAGATTAGATAGCAGTGTATCAAGGTATTCCTCCAGATTCACAGTTTCCTGTGCAATCTCCCCGTTCCATTCAGGTACTTCTGGCAGTCCCACAGACAACCTGTAAAGCACAAATATCGTCAAAATGACTTGATACCACGCGGAAATTGGCAAGCTATTATGCTCCGCAGCGGGAATGGTGAAGAACAAATCGAGATACTCCTTGGTGGAGCTGACGCATTTGACCAAGTTGCTGATGACCATTGGAGGTGTAGATAACATGGTGGAATCCTCTTGTGCCTTTGGAGACGGTGGCCTTCTCTGTCCGTAGCAATATACCAAGCCCATTTCTTGAATCCGGATCTTGACAGTATGATAGCAGTTGATCAGCAACACTAGGGATTCTCAATCAGCTAAATCGGAAGCCCAGAGCTTCAGAGGGCCCTACCCGTGTTGCGAAGATCCGTCGATAGAGACGACCACCATTCCTCTAACCGTGTCGTGAATCGTTCAGCATGGATGTACAGCCGAGTCCCATGAATACCTTCGGACCGGTAAGTCTCGCAGACTTCCTCGGCGAACTGTAGCACTTTTGTTACTGGGTATATCAAAAGGTCTGTGTCGAATTCTGGCTGTTGCTGCAGCATCACAGCGCACCGAAGCATGGCCTCGTGAAACTGGAGATTATTGGGCTTTCCCGAAGACATTGCTATTCTATCCAAGTCAGCTCAAGCCAAATAGCGCTTGTCAGGTGCGAAATGGCATCTTACATGCTAGACATGTAATAGCAGCCTAGATAAGCACGGCATGCTTCTCGGATATAAGCATCACCCAGCTTGGTTCGTTGCTCAAGCAAGTTGGCAGCTTCTTGATCAAGGCGAAGGTCAATGACCATACCGATGCCGATTTGTAAGTACTGGTAGTATTGTGCACTTCCTGGAACAAAGTGGAAATGGTACCTGACATTGGTCAGCTTGCCGGTGCCTCCGATGCTGAGAAGGCAGTATGGAAACTGAGATCTTACCAGGCAAGGTGAACAAGTAATCCCTGGAGCAGATCTAGATCTTTCTCGCCAGCTATGATTACCCGCTGACTGAGAGTCTGCTTAAATTGTCTGATCAGGGCGTCTTGAAGGTGACAGTACTGTGAGGAAGCAGCAGCAACAGCTGCAAGCAATAAGAAGGGGCGGTCTTCAGCCATCGATGCAGCAGTCCAGGCGTATGAAAGCTGCACAAATGGAAAATAGGACGCCATACCGCGGAACTTGTCTAGAAGATGCTCGAGGACGACAGGACCGAGTCCTAATTCGGTAATCCACGCGGCGTCCATCGTAGTGGCGTCCCAAGACTTTTCTGGGACAACTTCGGTGGTATTCTGCTCTTCGCTCGCCCCTAGGGCTTCGTTCAATTCAGGACCAGCCAGGTACCCTTGGCTCATCCATTCAGCTGTTGGGTGTGGGTTGTCGCTGGAATATTCAGGAATCTCAGCCAGCCCATAATCTAGATCAACGGGTGTTTGGACTCCAGGAAGGGGTGCGCTAGATTGTGATAGAAGACCAATGATATCGGTGAGCTTTGACTCCAGCTCGGCTAGTCTCCTTCATCGCCTGTCAGCAAAAGTGACATCTTGAGGGGAGTACCCTCCACGTCCACTTACGGTTTCGTTCGTTGTGAAGCTCGAGCTCGCTGTTTCAGCTCTGAGAATACGCATTGAGCGTTTGATCTGGCGCATCTACTCAAATTAACCAGAGTGCAAGTATACGGTCAGGGATGAGATACCCACTTAGTACAAGGCTGTCCTTCCTCGGGTCGAATACATTTGACCTTAAGGACACGGCATTTTTCGCATGCAAGTGTCACTTTCTTCGGCTGACGAGGTGAGTCCGTCGAGATTGCATTATCCATCGTCAGTCATATATATCAGTGATCTTAATCTCGTAGGCTCAAAGGATGATGGGTTTGTTGCTCTGATATATTTTGAGACCCCAAATCATAAGTACTTAAGCTGACAAATCCTCGTCCTCTCCGCCCTGACCTGCCTGTAGACATTTTAGAAAAAACAGAGAGCGCACTGGGTGGATTATTAGCTGCTCAGCTGATGCTCACTGCGCGAAACGGATGATTACGTAATACACCGGGGCCATGCTCAGTTATACTCAGTGAGAAAAAAGCGGCAGGGGGTAAGCACTAGAAGGGAAAGGGAAACTCGCGCAGTAACATGAAGCCCTAACAACCCTGCATTCACCCGTGACTGCAGTAACTAAAAAGACGCAAAAATGTATTCCTATAGAAGAATAGCAAAAAGTTAACGACCAATGCAGGATTCGAACCTACGATCTCCCGCACCGGAAACGGATGCCTTACCACTAGGCCAATTGGCCAACCACGATGAGTTGTTATGATAAGTATCAGCGGCCGGGACATATAAAGCATAGCCCTGTTTACCAATTTGAGAGTACGTAGACTAGTTTACGCCTTTGTCTTTTATTGAGTAGATTTTCTCTCCTAGGCTTGCTGTATACCGTAATTAATAATTCAAGGGGGAAAAAGGAGGCACGTGAACCGATCCATATGCATAGAGATCTTCATCCTTCAGGCTCATACATCTCGTCGAGTATGACTTCCGTTCCAACTTTTATTAAATATGAATCTACTGTACTTCGAGGGAATATATAGCAAAAGGAACTTAATTCATTTCGGGTACCAGCCCCGAAGTCTAGATCTATGCGTTTCAATCTATATAAGCCCCAAATATCCCGATATCAAACCCATCGGACCTATCGCACGGGTGATCTATCAAGTCTTGCCGAACCTCGCGACGAATGAATCTCCCAATGTGAAGTGACCTGTATATTACCAGGAGCAAGATAGCTCATCTTTGCCATGAAGGGTTGAGTAAGACCGACCAGAGGCATCTCTGGTTCCTCCAACCCCCTACCCGAAAGGACCGTCGCCTTCCAATACCTTGCAAAGCTTGGATCATATATGGAATTATGGGCTGTAGATGTAGGCACTGATACTCTGAACATCTTTTGGATGGCTGGATCCAGAGTTGGGAGACAGGCAACAATTATTCCCAGAGGAGGCACGATGCATGAAAGTATTGACTTCCTGGCTGAGCTGTACGTTGCGTCTTCTGGGTCGAGGTCAAACTCGCTTTTCATGCGGATGGCAATAATAGTGATGATTCTAGGGTATTGGTTAGTCATGAGGTCTGTAATATATATATTCGTTGCGTCCAGATACAATCACGGATTACTCACCCCAGCCCTAGCAGTTGGATACACATTAGTGCAGTCCTCTTGGTCTTCGATAAGGGTATGCGCCACATCCAGGGAAAAGGAAGAATGACAACCAAGAAGCTGAGAGCCGCCTCGCTCGCATTGACACTGCTATGCAACATTTCTCGATCACCGCAATGACCCGGAGTGTCGGCAAGCCATATTCTCTTCGGCGGGGTGCAGAAAAACGCTGTTGCAAAGAAGCTCGCAACCCAGAGAGCTGAACATAGGGCTATGATAATATATGCTAACACGGTCAGAGCTCGCTGACTGAAGTTGTGCACATAATAGTTGAGAATGGACAGCTGAACCAATGCGATCACCGTGACCCAGAGAAGATCACCCGCATATGTAAGCTGATGGTAGGGTTAGCTTAAAAAACATACATCGACAAGAGCCAAATAGACGCCACTCATTGTGACTTACTTCATTAAATTGGACGAAAACCTCAGACCCTCGGACCTGGGTTACCTCTGTGGAATGCAGTCCCATTCCACACAGCACGACCATCATGATTTCCACCACATAGCGACCGACCATAAAGAACTATATGTTTATGGTCAGCTTTGTCGAGATATTGCGGGGAGCCATGGCGCCAATCATTGAGAATAAGCAATGAAATAGATAGCCTTACCGTCGCAACTATAATCAACAAATCATTCAATTGGAGCGACATCCACTGCAATCGTCGCGACCATAGCCGCAGACCGACAAAAACAAAAACAATACCCAAAAGGACCGACTGGACAGCGATATCTGTCTTTCCCAGGGTATTATGACCTAGGGAGTGAACGAGTGTGGAGGGAGACGCCATGAGGGAGAAGTTGACGCCGAAGAACCTCGGAAGGGAAGATTCTGATTTTAATCTTAATTTCTAGGACACCATTCGCAAAATATGAACATTCGGACATGAAAATATTGAGGGGCCTAAGTAGCGCACGAGGGCGGGGCAATTATCTCGAGACCAATGCTCGAGGGCAATTACAGCATTTACACACTACAAAGAGTAAGATCGCCAGACTATGAGCAAGGGCCTCCGGAGACTTGATCCCTCTGTCACGCTGGCAAAACGTGGAGAAGTTTCTAGGAGCTTGATCTTGCTTATGGCCGCTGCAGGTTACCAGGATCTCACATGCAATTACTACTTCATAGTACGACGTACTTTTTCCAATTTAGAATCACACTTTATCTATACTATTGTACAGTAGAAGTATGCATATAGGTAAGGAGTGCCAAGTACTTCCAAGGATTTAACATTAGTATAGGGCTCGAAAACCGAGGTCCCCAATTTATCTCAAACGTCAGTGTTTCATCTTCCGGGAGACACTCCCCACTCGACCTTCCCTTCCCGTGCGGGTCATTCTGTATTCACCGTCTACTTTTTCATACCTTGTTGGACAATATACATGTATAACCGGTTCCTAGGCAGGCTATACCAATTAGGGCTATGCCGGCCAAACACGTAGTGACTTCCACGAGTTACCTACGTCTCACATCTTGTCCTATGGGATTCCTCGTCGCAGATCCACTTTGCCATTTGCATACTAAAATCCTTGGCTATTTTCTGTTGTTGGGATATTGTTTTTACAAAGCCTGTAGAAATTATAATCCAATGATATTTGAGAAGTATTTTGTGCTTTTTAGACGCTCTACCGCTATTTGAGGTACTTCAAATAGTTTACTCTATCGAAATGTACTTTTCAGTTATACATTCTTTCTTTATTATCTTCTACCTTGCTCAAAAATATTATTAGAATTGATGTACGGAGTATCCATATGTCCATAGCTTAGGTACGGAGTAGTATATTAAGATTCGAGATAAGCTTCATGTTAAACCTTATAAACGTAATCTTATACCCGTGAATATACGGAGACATGATCTAAGGAGTCAAGCCACTAAATAGCACTCTAACGCTGAGCTTGAACTAATTGAAACTGTCTATTACCAAGTGATGTGCAACCTTACCTAGGAATCTGACAACGCTCATCCGCATCAGCAGGATTTACCCTAAATCAGACCAAGATGCTGTCCATAGCATGTGTCTCACCACATCGGTTAGATATCACTTGCTGCTACTAACCTACTCACTGTCAACAACATCGCTATGTCATTTCACGTATGAATCGTCCATTAACAAAGACATTTTTATGATCCGCGCGTAATATACTGTCTGTCCAACGCAATAGGAAAGACCCCCCCTACAGAGAAAATCCGGGTCTGTATAGGTACATATGTATAATTTGACTAATTTCACAAACTACCGCCTCAATCGAGGAGCAGCTAGAGGCGAATCAATATGCCCCCACTCAAAATCTTCACTCTCATCCCCATCATCATAATAATCCAAATCAAAACTATCCTCCTCAGAAGAGGGACCGACATGCACAGCAGGGGACGAGATAGGACTAAGTGCCACACGCGGCCGGGACTTGAAGACACTTGCGTACTCAGCATCTTCCTCAAAGAGCCGATCCTGCGGCGTCGAAGCACGCGAGATATCATCCCTTGAATGAGCTGAGTGCGTGGAAGCCTTTCGCGGCGTGATGAACTGGTTGACTGGGAAGGAAGGGCGGGGTCTGCGGCGTCGCCGTGGCGCTTCGTGGGCCACGGGTGGGAGGAGAGACATTGATCTGCGCGTGCGCTCGGCTAAGGTATCGGAGCGCTTGATGGGTTCTGGAGCTGGTTCCTCGTCAGACGAGGGGAGGTCTGGGGAGAGCCGGACGGTTGGGGGCGAGCGTTGAATATGTTCTGATTCTGATTCTGGATGTGGCTTGGGCTCGGGCTCTGAATGGAGCCCTGTGGTTTCCAAGTCTGGTGAATGACCTGGGGTGTGGTAGTCTTCTGCCACTGTTGATGGCGAGCTGACAATCTCTGACAAGCTTCTGAATTGTAGTTTGCTGCTCTTTCTAACCTCTGGTGTAAAACCTGCAGGCTTGACGCGGGATTTCCCATTGATGCGGGAGAGCGCCTCATTTACAGAGGAAAGGAGATATTTATCCGGCCCTTTCAACGTCCGCGCGCGATCCCCAGGCTGACGAACAGCTTTGGATATACTAGCAATTGTGAGAGACTGGTGATCCCGGAATAACACACGTGGTTCTTTAACAGAGGCTGTGCTCGTTTCGTCGGTGCCTCTTTCCTTTGAGAGGGACTTGTTATATTCGTGCCACTTGTGCAGTCGACTTCGTTGGGCCAGAACACGAGCCTCCAAATCAAGGACTAGATCCTGCTTCAAGCCACTGCTGAAACTGTCCACATTCGAGTTTTTTGCCTGCATCCATGCCGCCGAGAAAGGAAGTTCCAGAAAAGCGTCGGCGGTGCTTTGTGATCCGCCTTGGAGCAGTGCAGCAGCCCATTCCTCGCTGCCCAGCCAATTTGTTTGTAACTCACGCACCATCTCGGGATCACTCTGCATATCATTCATACGACCTCCTGAGCCTTGATCCGCACGTTCGGTCAGCTCCACCCTTTTATCATCTAGCAGCTTCGAGAACCGGTCATACGCCACTTGAACTCGGACATGGCGTTCTCCCACAGAACCGAGAGATACTTGGTGGGCAAGAATGAGCGGCAGGAGAGTCCGGTAGTCGGTCGGGGTCATGGCTGACGCGGTCGAAAGTCTCATGGCAGGATTCCAAACCATCTCGTTTGCGGACACCGCCACAACTTTACGGAGAACGGCCGCGGAGAAGCTAGCAAGGAGCTCCTCGAATTTATCGCCCTTGCAATCATCCAGCATGGTTTTGCGAAGGACAATCTCCCTTCCCAGATCGCCATTCTTCTTCAATTCGCCTAGGCATCGAAATAAAGCCGCGCGGAGGTTGACGGACTGTAGAGGCTCTAACGGGGGGAAGAAGGGTCGGAGTTTCTGTAGGGGATGTCAGCCAAGTTCACGAATTGGAGGCCTGTGATTGAGTGACTGTACATTATGGGCGCTCTCTGGATCCCAAATGGCGTAGAGGTGATACAAGGCCCATTCTATCAGTCGGATTCGGTTTCGTTGGTTCTGTGGTGTCGGGCTCAAGGTGGGGAGAGATATACCCGGCCAATCCTCGCGTTGATCCAGATGCAATAGCTTTAGACTGCGAATAAACACATCCAAATGTGAGGGACCTGGCCAGTCTAAGGGTTTCGGCCGAACAGGCCTTGTTGCAGCCATCCTGTGTCGAAGGGGACTTTAGTAAACAGGCGGCGGAGAGTAAACATAGATAACGAATGTTTGCACTGTTTGCAGCGCCTATCAGACCCGCCTTTGTTGTAGATTGTTTTTCCCCTCCTCAATTGTCCTCTTTACTTGTGCTGCGTTCCTCTCCTCGGTCATTCTCTCTCTTCAATAACATCAGCCATGGCGTCCGACGCTCCTGAATGGAGCCCCGAGACCGGTAAGCCTTCAACTCCTCTTTCCAGACTACGCAAAGCTAATATCCGCAGTGCTCTCTACGCTTCCCTACCGTCCAGAGGAGAACTCTACCTCACCTGTCCCCTTCTTCCACTTGATTGAGCGCCTCAAGACCACCAAGCGCGAGGGTTGGCGCCGCTTCGGTATCAATGGAGAGTCCATCTCCGACCATATGTATCGCATGTCGATCATGACAATGATGGCCCCGCCGTCTCTGGCAACCAAGATAAACATCCCGCACTGCACAAAGATGGCCTTGATCCACGACATGGCCGAGGCGCTTGTCGGCGATATCACTCCAGTCGACTACCACATCCCCAAGGCCGAGAAGGCTCGCCGCGAGGCCTCCGTTATGGAATACATCGCTACTACCCTCCTCGACAAGGTCCCCGGAGGCGCTTTCTCGGGCGGGAAAATCAAGGAAATCTTTGAGGAGTACGAGAAGGATGAGACTCTTGAGGCCCACTTCGTGCATGACATCGACAAGATGGAGCTCCTGTTGCAAATGGTTGAGTATGAGCGTTCGGACAAGGTTGATCTCACCGAATTCACCCACGTCGCCTCGCGCATTCGGTTGCCCGAGATTCAGGCCTGGGCTGCGGAGGTCATTCAGGAAAGGCCGAAGAAGGCATAAATATGCATGCAGCTTGCGCATTATTGCAGGGAATGGGTGACGGGGGAGTTGGCATGCACTGGGCTTGTTTGAAAGACCCATTGCATTTTGGCGTTTGCTTCTTCATTTTTACATTTGCATTTCATTTTTCCGGGTACTTCAGATACCATAGAGGACGAATCACGAGAGCACATGGTTACTACAAAGCTATTTCACTATACTTGGTTATCTGGTAAGTACGTGTAGCTCTACCTCGGCAACTTCTATGCAGCTTTTCCAGTCTTCAATTCAATACGAATGAGGGAGGAACACGATTGATTATTTGACCTTATAATACAGTCGATCCAACTTCCGAAGTTCATCCGTGCCACAAGACCGCAGCTTCTACCTGGGGCTTCTATGTCCGCGAGCAATTGAAGCCTCGGTAGAGGGAATAACCTCAAATATACACAATTGCCTCGGACCTTCATATCCAAGACATAGACCCAATTAATCAAGAGGCTCATTCTCCATTTCCCTCGCCAAAATCTCAGCCTCAGCCTTCATTTCATCTTCACTGCGAGGCTTGCGCGACTCATTATCCACAACCGGGAGCCTAGATCTCCTCCCCGAATTCGCAGACTGGTCACCCTCTTCCGTAGGAGCAGCATTCTTAAACGCGTTCCCCAAATCCCCCTCCTGCCCATCTAGCAAGTCATAAATCGCATCCATGCCACCGGCATGATCTAAATCCGCCGACTTGCGCGGGATTATATGCGCATGGACATGCGGCACGCTCTGGCCGGCGTCTGCGCCGTCCTGAATGGCGATGTTCAAGCTTGTGGCACCGTATACGCGCTCGACCATCCGACCCACGCGTCGGACTGTTAGGAAGAGGTCGCTTGTTTCGTCTGGGGTGAGATCTGTGACGCGGGGGACGACGCGGCGTGGTGAGACTAGGACGTGGCCAGGGAGGATTGGTTTCAGGTTTACCAGGGCGAAGGTTAGGGACGTTGTGTAGAAGACCTGTTGGTGTGTTGGCGTTAGTTGTGTTCATGGTTATGGTTGTGCTTGTGCTTGTGCTTGTGCTTGTGTCTATGGCTAGTTCTGTGGTTGGTGTTGGTTGAGAAGACTGGGGGTTGTGTGGATCATGAGCAATTTACCTGTGGTGTGACAATGAAGGAGCCAAAGTAGATTGGCGCTGTGGTAGCTTTGAGGGCTGGCATTTTGGAGTTGGATATGGGATATTGAGGTGAATAAGAAGGTTGTCAACTTGTCCCCGGTAGCTTTTCGGTGATGTCGGACGATGTGTTGATAAGCGCTTATCAGATCCATCTCGAAACCACACCTCGGGACTCCGAGGTCCCCTTCACCCGCGGACTACATTCCTTGTTTTATCCATGAATATATAGAAAGCACAGGAAAATGGGTATCATTGACATTGGTCATAAACAATATCCTGAACTATATTACAAAAAAGTATCTGGTAGGTAAAGAATTGCGACTCATCGCTGATCAAGGGTAAGAATACATACAAACAGTCGTGTAACATTGGCATAAAAGGTTCGAGAGGGTATTGATATCACGACTCCTCCTTCTCTGGCTCGTGTTTGGTTTCGGGGGCAACAGAAGGCTCTTCTACCGCCTCGACCGCCTCTTTGAGCTCTTCAGCTGAAGTCTCCTCTTCGTGGGAAGTTGTATTTTCATCGCCTTCCGTAGCATGCTTGTTGATGGTCGATTCTGTGTTTGTGGCCGGCTCTTCGGAGAAAGACTCCTCAGTCTGTTCGGTCTGCTCAACCTGCTCACTATTCTCCTGTTCTTTAGCAGTTTCAGATGGCTGCTCATGGGTTTCTTGCGGTGGCTGTTCCTGAGGTTCCTCAACTAGCTCTTCAGAGGATTCTTCCACATCGACAGTTGGCTCATCCGCGACGGTACGTTCCCCTGGAGTCCGTATTTCCAAAACAGAAACAGGCCGCGGTTCAAGCGATTGCTTCAGGGGCTCATGCAATGACGATGACGTAATCTCTTCCAGATCCTCCGCATCCTCCGCGATAGTTGTAACACGCGATCCTGTGGAGGGACTGTGCTTATGGCGACGGGTGGTCGCGCCAGTGAGGAGCGCCGGGTCTTGACTCTCCACAGCAGTACCGAATGTGTTATCACTTTCCTTGCGTAGAATAGTGAAACGGTTGTTGCTGTTGGCAGGTTTTTCCTTGGTTTCTTTTCCCTCGACCTCCTCCCTCCTTTTCTTGGCCGCTTCCCTTTTCTGGGCTGCTGCGGCTTCATCAGGTCCTCCGGCCTTAAGGGGGATTGTGTAATCCGAGACAAGGTTGTAGTAAACACAAACAGTCTTGAAAAAGACGTACAAACCACCATGATTATCTACTTTCGAAAACACAGCAGGATGCCGGTACCATGCGTGCGCAAAGAAACGGTAAAGGCGGCGGAAGATGTCATGCAAGCGGTTTCTGGTGTTCTGATCGCCTGACAATCTAAGTCGGCTAGGGAAAATCTTCTCCGATGTGAGAATGTTCATGGCCCAGTCCAGAGTATGGCAGCAATAGTCAATCGCGCAGCAGTATTTGGCTTCCGGGTGTCCTGCGCCCGCGCAAATATACTGCCAATCGTTGACTCGCATCTCGGGACAAGTTTGCGACGAGCAGGGCGGGCTTTCAGAGAAAAAGCCCTCGATCAGGCGGTTGGCTTCTATAGTGAAGAAGCGGCACAGTTCGTATTTCCAAACGGTCTCCTCGAATCCCTTCGGGGGTTTTGTCAGCTCATTCGCAACCTCGCTCCCCGGTCTTGACGGCTCTTTCGCCATCTCGATTCCCGGGGGTTCTGTCGGCTCTTCCGCAACCTCGCTCGTCAGGTCCATCTTGTCAAATCCTTTGGGATTCTGCTTATTGTATTCCCCCAGAAGCACATTGTACTCCTTCATAAGCACATCGTAGTTCGGGTCCGCCTTGTCAGATGCTTTAAGCTTCAGCTCAGTGTACTCCTTCATAAGCACCTCGTGCTTCTCCATAAGCACATCGTACTTCTCCTTGAGTTTAGGGTACTGGGGCGCAAGCTTATTGAACTGGGATTTGAGGTGTTCCTGGAGCTGGAATGGAGAATCAAGCTGTATTTATCAGTAATGTCCAAAATAGCGAGTGGAGAGCAACTAACCTGTGAAAGGGAAACCACTGGTGGACCAGATGCCATGTTGGCGGATTTGGTCCCTGGCCGGATTCTGCGCGTCGAGCCATCATTTTGTCCCATCGCGACGGCAAGCAGGTCTGTATCTTTGGCAAAGGAGTCGCCAACCGATGGCGACTGAGGCCCAAACTGAACCTCAGTAAATGGAGGAGGACTGGGAAGCCGCGGGGAGCTTGACGGGGAGACTCCCGCAGCAGTCATGACGATAGTAAAACGAGGGCGCTAGATGAAATGAGAGAAACCGAGAAACAGAAAAAGAGTGAATGGTCTCTAGACGCCCTGTCAAACTGTGTTAATGAGAGCAAAGGTCGAGTATGGAGAGCAAGCATAGACGCTAAAGATAACCATCAACATAACAACCGCTGACCGCCCGAGCCCTGTGCCCTAACGTCTATTTTGGGAAACAACGTCATCCGCCGCATCTACGAGGTTTCTTCAGAATCTGTTCTTCTACTTATTTACGCAACATTCAAAGACTAGCACATTATGTCTGCCAATTTTGAAGATGAGGATGCTCCTCCGGAGCTTATCGATGTGTCTGCAACGCCAGCAGACCAAACATCGGTAGATGAAGAACCAACAGGTCGCGTGCCCATCACGCTGATTACTGGTATGATTGAATAGAGTGCATATTGATTTAAGTAATAAAATGAGACTAATACGCCGATTAGGCTACCTGGGAGCGGGGAAAACGACTCTGTTGAATTATATCCTGACAGAGAAACACGGCAAGAAAATTGCGGTGATCATGAACGGTTCGTCTATTACACCGGGCTGTGAGATATGATACACGTCGCTAATGAATTTCCAGAATTTGGTGACTGTAAGGTGTCCAACCAAAGGACTAAAAACTTACATTCTAACATTATCACAAAGCAATGGATATTGAAAAACCAATGACAGTAAACCAGGGCGGCCAAGAAGTGACCGAGTGGATGGAAGTTGGAAATGGCTGCATCTGCTGCTCCGTGAAAGACTCAGGCGTAATGGCTATCGAGTCATTGATGGAACGCCGCGGCACCTTCGATTACATCCTTCTAGAGACCACTGGTCTTGCCGACCCGGGCAACATCGCCCCAATCTTCTGGATGGACGAAGGACTAGGCAGCTCTATCTACCTCGATGGAATTGTCACTCTTGTCGACGCAAAGAACATCATGCGCTTGCTGGATGAGCCGGCGCCTGAAGAGAAGGCCGAGTCGCATGACGTGCACCACGACCACGGTTCTGGCCCTGTTCTGTCAATGGCGCATATGCAGATCTCACATGCGGATGTGGTAATCCTCAACAAAACGGATCTCGTCACAGACGAGGAGCTGGAGGCTGTTCGAGATCGTGTTGCCTCTATTAACAGCGTGGCTAAGATTCATGTGACAGATCATAGTCGGACGCCGCAGATTGAAGGCGTTGTGTTGGATTTGCATGCTTATGATCACTTGGCGGATTTGGACTTCAGTAAGAAGGGACACAGCCATATGGACCCGGTATGTTTATATCCTCTTCTGTCTCCTGCTTGTTGCAAACAGGGAATGCTCTCGTGATTCTAACTATAACCAGGCAATTTCTACTATTGCGATCGTTACACCTCCAATCCCGGCAGATAAGGTGAACTGTGTGGATGCCTGGCTGCGCTCTGTCTTGTGGGATACAACGTTCCCTGCGCCTGCGAAATCAGTCTCATCCGAACCACACCCCGTAGACTTTGAGGTTCATCGGTTAAAAGGTATACTGATCCTGGATAACGGGACAAGCAGAATCATCCAAGCTGTGCGGGATGTATTCGAGATTCGAGATGCGGAGCCTATAGACACCGAGGATAAGTCTAAACCACTTCAGTGCAAAATTGTGCTGATCGGACGAGGACTAGGGCCAAGTGCAGAGCCTTGGCGGGAGAGTTTTGAATCTTGTTTGGTTGCCAAATGAGGAGAGTTCATTGTCTATGATCAAGCAAAAAGAAATCATTGCTCCATGGAAGGAGACAGCAGGGCCTATTTACGGTTAGAATGCGAAAGTCAGTCCTAGCCAACAATTGCATTGCCAAATAACGAAAAAAGAAAATAATACAGCCCTGTCAGACAAGAAGAGGTATAAAAAAATCCCATCAATATACATCGACTTCCCGGGTGAGAACACCAGAACGCAGAACGAGGGCCTCCGCAAACCATAGAATAGACAACAAGGAAAAGAAAAGACAGCACAAAAGAGATAGGGGAAAACAAAAAAAAAGCTACTACCCTAGCAAAAACCAATTAAAATCCGCCAAAATGCAAAGAAGGAAAAAACAAAGGACTTTTTAGAACTCCAGGTTCGCCCGCCATCGGTATAAATGCTTCCAAAAGCTGAATAACACGAGGCAAACGACGAGGCATAAACTGTACAAGCAGAGCAAATCAAAAGGGTATCGAGTGCTCGGCCCCGAATATGGGGCTCGTTCGGAGAAATGGGTCGTGGCGTCGTCGGCCAATGTAGCAAGATTGTTTTGTAGAAATATTAGTGATCCTGCGTTGGTTCGAGGTTTGAATTTGCCCATCAGGGCGAAGTTGTTTGTGCGGGGGATATATTTGCGACTATATTCGATTTGAGGAAAAACGTGCCTGGCTCAAAATGCCCGGTTTGGCCTGACTTGAAGGTGAGCTATGAACCCCAGGATAAGTTGAACTAGGCATTGAATTTGGGTGGGTGGGACTGATGGGCAATCTCGAACCCAGCAGATTTGAGTTGGAGTTCAGTGAACTTGTTTGTGCAGCTGTCTTTGAGCTGGATTGGCTTAAAGGTTCATTCCCCTGCGGTTCGATGGGGTATGTTTTGCCCGGCGAAATGGCGCTCTCTGGCTTCTTTGAAGTCTGAGAGATCCCGAGGGATGAGGCTGGCATTGTCGAGGTGGACTTGACATCTGGATTATTTGCAGATGGGTTTTCCCATGGCCGTCTTAGCAGTCCAATTCCAACGACAGATGGACTTGTAGCGAATGGTAGAGGGCCAATGGAAGCCCCAGTGTGACGGAGGTGGGAAATGTGCATTGAGGGAAGTCGAGGTGGCGTTGACGGTAATGTGGGTGTGATATCGTTCTCATGTGGCATCTCCGGCTTTGGTGGCTCAGTAGGAGAAGGACCCTGTGATGAAGGGGAACTTGGAGTGTTGATGGGAGTCACGGAAGAACGGAATGTTGGGCTGATAGGCAATTCCGAACGGGCCAGACTTGATGTGGAGGGCGATGGCTCGGTAAGTTTGGGTTTAATACCGGTGTTTGCACACGGTGAACTCGTATAAGTTTGCTTCGGCGGCTCGATAGGAGAAGATTTCACTGATTGAGAGACGCTTGGAAGCTCGGGCGAAGGCTCAGAGCGAGCTGGGGTAGGATTGGCCGACGATGTCGGGCGAAGCTGGGAAGGTGTTGAGTTGGATTGTGTTGTGGGTATAGGCTTGGTACAGGTGGTAGCCTCTGCACGTGGTCGATTGAAGTTATCCTGCCTTAACGGTTCGACAGGCAAAGAGTTCAGCGATGAAGTGGTGCCCAAAGCGCCGAGGGAAGTTTTAGAAGAATGGAGAGTAGGGCTGATAGGCAGTTCCGAGAGAGACAGGGATGATAATGAGGGCGATGGCTCAGTTGATTTAGGTTCGGTTTCGACATTTGCGCATGGTAAGTCCGCATTCTTCTCCTTTGGTGAGTCGATAGGAGAAGCTTTCCCAAATCGAAGGCCAATAAAACCCTCAGAGTCACGGAAGCTAGGGCTGAGGGGCAAAGATGAGGATTCAAGGTCATCCTGGTCATTGGCGGACTTCGCACATGGCCGATCCACACCGTCTTGCTTTGCTTGCTTAATTGAAGACGGAATTGTCGAAAAAGGGATGGCCTGAGTGCCACTTGATCTACCGGAGTCACGCAAAGTAGGGTTGATTGGCAAAGCTGAGGCTTCAAGTTTACCCTCGTCATTGGCGGCCTTTGGACTGGGTGGGTTGAGAGCCTTCTGGTTCTGCGATTCAGCAAGAGATGTGCTGACGGGGGGCGGGAGTGGAGGTGCGGTAATTGGAGAGCCCCTACGATAGGTCGGCTCATCGGGTGTCTCTTGCTGATTATTCATAGGGGCACTTTCGAGATAGACAGGCTCATTTGGAAAGGCTGATAGTTCCACTGGCTGGTTGTGGAAGCCATTGCCCATTGACCTTGTCTGAGAAACTGGAGCAGCTTCTGGATTCTGACTGTAAGAAGGTGGGTAAAGTGACGAGCCATCATTGAATTGGCGGGAGAAATCCATGTACTCGTCATGGCTGTGAGGTTCGTGGTGATTCAAGGTAGAGGAAGAAGATGGCTTAGATGAGAACCCCATGTCTCCATTCGATTCTGCGAGAGGTATTGTTGATCGCTGGACGAGGTCGTGATTTTCAGAGAATATGGAGTGCTGCAGATCACCGTAGGAATCTTCCGAAAATTCCTTTTCGGGGTAATAGTGGCCATCTTGCTGCATCATGCCCGGCTGAGGCTGAGCCCAGTTCCTGATTGGCAAGTGCCTGGACTCGTTGGCAATGGCCTCCAGTGACCGAACAGGCGTTGATACCCGTGCTTCCGGCAGTGGGGGGAACATTGAGAAAAGCTCTTTCGCAGAGAGCCTATGTCGCGGAGTCGGGCTTAAACAGATGTCCACTATCCGTCGGTAATAGTCTGGAATCTTCGCGTCGTCGCCCATTCGAAGAGGTCGCGGTTGTCGTTCAGGTTCATCCTCCTCCATCGCCAATGCCCACAGCGTCATGCCCAGTTGGAAGAGATCAGTCTTGACGCCAATATACATGGAGATGCGTTGGTTGCTCTCGATCTTAGCGGCAATTTCCGGGGGCTCCCACCCCACTGGACATCCCCTGCGGTTGATATCGATGATCTTGGCGTTGTCGTCTGCATCCACCACAATGTTCGCGAGGGTGAAATCGCCCTGCACGTAGCCCGATTCGTGAATCTCACAAAGACCCTGGACAATCTGCTTTGCCCATCGCTCGCGTCGCGCAAAGCTCGTTTTTCCGCGTTGCTCATACAGAATGTCTACCAGTGCGCCATTTTCTGCATAGCTAATCAGCAAGCCCTTGACAACACCTCGCCACTCATCGACAACGATTCCTTCCACCTGGATCACACTTGGGCGGTCTTTCAGCGCATGCAAAGCGTTAATCTCGTAAAGGAACTCGTCCACAGTGTCGGGGCCCGGTATTTC